TATGATCTTTCGTCAGAAGTTTCCAGAGAGTTCATCGGTCGACCGGCGCGGTCGACCGAAAGCTCAAATCTTTGGTCGGTCGACCGTGCCGGTCGACCGATAAAGTCTCTGCTCGTTTTCTAATTTTTCAAAGCGGCTAGCGGTCGACCGGATTTTTCGGTCGGTCGACCGACGTAGTTTTTCGGTCGGTCGACCGAACGTTTACTTCGGGCGACCGAATTTCTCTTCGATCAGCCGCGACTTTTTCAAACGCTCATTTACCTAGTAAACTACGCTTACACTTAACTGTGTTTGGCACAGTCTGAGATAAGGGTCTGTAAAGGAGATTATTATCCTATTTGGGAAGATTGGGTTTTGTTTTAAATTGATTTAATCTCTTCTATAAAAACCCCAGTCTTCTTCTTCCTCCTTAGCCCTAACGTTTGCAAAAACCAGAGAGTCTGCTATTTCCTGAGAAAAATTTTCAAAGTCTGGTTTCTGTGTTTTCTCTCTGTTTTTAAGTGTGATTCACTTCCCAGCTTCAGTAAACCTACTCTTTGCTATAGGGGCTGTGTAAAGAGAGGTTCTTGCATCTTAATAAAACTCTAATTATGACTATTATCCTATCACATGCAATACCTCATGCCTATATATAAACCAAAAAATTACATAATTTTCATAATAACTTCATCTCCTTCAACATGCATGTTTATTTTTTATTTTCATGATTATTCTTTATAAATATTGTGTATTTGATTTAATGGTGAAATTTCTTCAATTTTTATGCAGAACTTAGAGGATTCAAGATTTGATTGTTGCATGTTCTCCCATCTATCGAGGTAATAGAAAACAGATACCTTTCATCTGTTTCTTTTTTTCTTTTTTTGCTTTCCATGCTTTTAATTAATTTATGTTTTTGTGTAGATTACAATATATTCATACTCATGATTGTTTTTGAAATTCAATCACCTGGTATAATGATATGTAACCAATAATTACGAGTATCTGCTTTTAATTAATTCTAATTTTGTACTCAAGATTTATTCCATAATTATGAGTATCAGGTTAGTCTAGAATATCAATAATTTTTTTTATTGTGATAATGATTATAGTTGATTGTTTACTTTTGAATTTTTATGAAAATTTTCACAAATTTGTCCAACTATCTGCATTGCTCATATATATTCATAAATTAATAGTAATATGACATATGATTTTCCTTTGTAGAAATTTATTCTCTGGTTTTTGGATATCATAACTACTATACAACACTTTCTCACCTAAAATGGCTTCAAGCTAATGTTTGCATTAAACTCAATAATGAATTATTCATATATTATTATATTAGTATATGCGTATGTATTTATAATACTACATGAACTTTTTTTTAAACAGAAGAGAACACTCCAATACCCAGAATTAAAAAGACTAAATATTCTCGGTTGAGTGATGAGCAAAAGAAATCTTACATTCAAAGAATTGCGGATAATAAGAGAAAGCGACACAGTAATGACTCTTCTGGTAATACTATTAATGGTAAACGACAACGTAAAGTTGACCTATTTTGTGGAGCCCTTCTACTGGCCTATGAGCATGAAGGTTGGTGTACATATACTTTATAGTTTATTGAAAGAGCCATATAATATTATATATTAGTTTATTAAATATTTATATTTGTTCTAGGGCAAATTCTTCATAAACCGGTATGTTCTTTACTATATAAGCTACGCATTCCAAAGTCTTGTGCATATTGTGGATCCCAAATGTTTGAACATGAGCCTCCAACATTTTGTTGTCACAACGGTGAAATCCACCTAGCAGATGTGAATATTCCAAATGAATTATTTGCCCTTTATACAATGCAAACACCAGAGACAATTGAGTTCCGAAGCCACACCAGAATGTACAACAGTATTTTCTCATTCACATCGTTTGGGGCAAGATTTGATAAATAGCTCGCATCAAATGGAAAAGGAGTTTTTACATTTAGAGCACAAGGACAAATATATATCATAATCTCCTAGCTCTAATTCCAAAGGAAAACAAGCCTTCATACTTTCAGCTTTACTTCTATGATACAGAGAATGAGTTGCAAAATCGATTGAGAATTCTACACAATGCAAATATGAGTGAAATCACAACTAAGAGCTTGATGGATATATTACAAGAAAACCCATATGCAAAGTTCCTTCGCAAATTGAATGATTATCAATCTTTTGAAGAATTAAAGATACTAATAAATAGTAATGTTGCACTAGATCAACATGTTTACAACTCACCAACAGCAGATCAGGTGGCTGCAATCTGGGTTGAAGGAAATAATGACAATGCACCATTTGAGAGAGAGATTATTGTCCATACACACTCAGGAGGAAGACATCAAGTGAAACACTATTTCGGCTGTTATGATCCACTGCAGTATCCCTTACTCTTTCCTAATAGAGAGGTTGGATAGCATCAAAATATTAAAAGAAGGGATAAAAGGGATATCAGAGCTGACAATCAACAAAGAACTATAATACCAACTTCAATATCTTCACCTACCTTCACATCTGCAGAAGACATATTTAACCGAGAAAGTGAAGGTAAAATTTAATTCACATTTCTAAGTAATATTATTATATATGAATATAGATTAACACCTAAATTTACAGGCGTCAAGGCACCAAAACCCGGAAAAGTTTCATGCCGAAATTATTATTGTCATAAGCTCCAAATAAGAGACACTCGACAATCTTTTATACTTACATCAGCAGGTCATTTATTCCATCAATATGTTGTTGATATTTACATAAATCTTGAAACAACAAGGCTTGATTACTTTAGAAATAAACAATCAGAAATCAAAACAGAGTTATTCCAAGGTATTGTCGACAGTGTAGCTGTCGGCGAAGCAAATGCAAGCCAAGTGGGCAAAAGAATAGTTCTTCCATCATCATTCATAGATGGTCCTAGAGACATGCGTCGCAAATACCTTGATGCAATGTCATTAGTACAACGATTTGAAAAGCCAGATCTTTTTATAACAATGACATGTAATCCATAATGGGAAGAGATCATTGAGCAACTACATCCAGGCCAAAGCCATAATGACAGGCCAGACCTAACCTTAATGATATTTCGAGCAAAGCTCCAAGACTTAAAAGATCAACTATTTAAGAAGGGGATCTTTGGGAAAGTTGTAGCACGTACATGTTCATGTGATTGAGTTTCAAAAAAGAAGGCTACCACATGTACATATATTAATAATTCTTATTGGAGATCACAAGATCACATCATCAGATCAATATGATAAATATGTATCTACAGAAATTCCAGACCGATCCAAACATCGATCCTCTATGAATTGGTAAAAAACATATGATGCACGGACCTTGTGGAGAGTTGAACATGAAGAACAGTTGCTATATTTTATTATTGTCTATGGATAACGCATCATGTGATCAATCATTTATGATATAAAGGTGACCTCTTTAACCAATTGGCAAAGAATTACTATTGTGATGAATTTGCTTGGGATTGTCACAAACCTTAATATTCATTGTTTTCAAAAAAACCTTGGCTTACTAATTATTACTTGTTGAGATTGTTGCCATATTGAATAAGAGACCAAATTTGATCAAGATTTACTTTCATACTTTAATTAAGTTCCTGTTAAGTGTTGGTGGTAGTGATCAATTAAAAAATTTTAGAACAAAAATAATTTACAAGTTTACAGTAAATCAAACAATGATCTTAGCTTTTTAAGTCAAAAAATATTTGAAATAACTTAAAATTTTGAAATATTTTCTACATTACTATAACTAAAATTCATAATAACAATTACAATATGCCAGATACGTATATTCATCCAAGTTTAGCTTAAATTCCTTTACATTTTTTTTAAATATTTAAATAAAATACTATTAAATCTTATAATTCAATAATACATATTTGAACTTAAGATAAATCTTACTTATTTAAAGTAATGAAATAAATATAAAAATGTATTTTTTTAATATTTAACCACGTGCATTCCACGTGAATAAAAACTAGTACTTTTAAAAAGTTGTGTTGCTTAAATAATTGAAGGATTAGCGACATCCGTTTATAGTCAATTTGAAAAACTAAGTACGTATTAGTATTCAATTATATGATCAGATAGTCAAATAATTAAAATATAATTATAGACATCCAATCAGATGATAAAATATAGTCCAATTAGTTAACCCTTAACAGCAAATAGTAATGTATAGAACCGGCTGCCTAATAGCAATTTCAATGAGGGGTATCAAAGGGAAAACTTTTAATAGAAAAATGAGACAAAATCTAGACAGGGTCATCAAACTAAAATCAGTTTTGAAAGTTTGAGATATCAATTTGTCCGAAAGAACCTTAGGTTGTTAAAGTTAAAAAATGGCTATACTTTCGGGGTAATATCTATCTATTGTTATATACTAAAAGATTTGACCCTAATTGCATAAATTCAACAACTAGCAGCGATACCAACTTTTTTTTTTTGGGAAATAATACCCACTTTTCCACTGCTAACCCTGTTTTTCAGCTTTTCTTTGAATTTATTCTTCCAAAATTCACTATCATTAATATTCCATGTTACATCCTCCATTTTCACTTTCTCAAATTCACGATCACCCCCGTGCATTGCCCGGATAACAAAATTAGCCGTTCAAAGAGAGAAACGTGAAAGAAGATATTCTCTTTCTAGACTTTCTTGGGTAATAGTTTTCTTTTCTTTTTCTTTTTCTTTTTTTTTTTTGTATCCGTAAGTCCAAATAATATGCACCTTATAAGATGGGGGGAAACATAATGAAGAAAAGGACAAGATGCCTTTGTTTCCCCTTGAAAAAAAAAGAAAAGGAGAAGATGCTATGATCATTTCACAACGTGCAACTGTGGAACCAAATGTAGGCCCATGACGTAAAAGTACAAGAGGGCCCTGGTGGTGGTTAAATAGCCTATTGGATCAAACGTAGGCCCATGGATCGTCCTAAGAGCCCACAAGATAGCTGGCCAATCCCCTCCTATTTGTTATAAATGGAGACGGTTCAAAATCCCCACCCCCCGCTCCCCCTAACAACAAAGACAGAAACCTCTTGTTGTTTCTCTAAACTGTTCTCCCTCCCAATAATTGAATCGACTCATCTGGCGCTGGACTTTTGCCCACATGACACCACTGGTTTCTGCGTCCTCGGCCACCTACATTCTTCCTTCGAAATTTCCATGACATAAAAATGAAGGCAACTTGTTCGATGAAATGCCTCAATGATTGATGATGAGCAAGTGGATGGATGCCCATGTTCTCATTCTGAACCATTATGGGCTTTGTTAAGCTGCAGTCATCTCCTTCGCAATTTCGTGCTTCCTCAGTGATGGATTCGAGAGAATATGGGTTTTATGAACCATTGTCATAAAGTAACAATTGATGTTTTATGGTCGAGGAAACTGGTTATTATCGCTTTGCGAACATAACGTTGTTAACCCGTCCACTTTTTTTAATATATTTTTTTTCCTGCTAACTTCACTGGCTTGAGGAGCCTTTCGTCATGGAGATTCACAGAGAGTATATTTTTTGTACTATGATCTAAGGAGAAATGATGTACAATATGGACGAGATTGGATGGTATGGTAAGAAGGTAACTTATACTTGGCTACTCAACTGCTTAAATGAGGCGGCTAGCTAAATATACTTATTGTTGGTTGACGTTTGCATCTTCCTGAAGCTCTTTACTCTGCATTAAGCTTACCAAATTTATTACATGTTAATTAATTAATTAATTTATTTGTACTTGGAACTGAACACTGAGTTAAGAAAGCATATTAGGCATTTCCATGCCCCTTTTTCGCAAACTTAGGAGCATTTGGTTTTGTTTCTTAAGAGTTGTCACTTATTGTGTATTTATGATGAAATTAGTGTTGCAGATGGCCATCCTCATAAAAGTTTTACATATGAAAATTGGAAAATAAATGTTAGGAAGCTCTTTGCATAGATTTTTACGCAATTGTCTGCTATGTAATTAGTTACATGCACAAATGCATAAGGAATGCATTTGTTTGCTAACTTTATTCTATACACAGGACTACTTTGGACAAACCCCTGTAGCATATTGTTATTTTTGTCGTAACAGGAACACTGAGTTGATAAAGCATATTAAGCATTTTCATGCCCCTTCTCTAAAACTATCTACATTTCATTTTGTTAGTTCATCTGTTATTTAGCAATGCTACTTAAAATTGCTGTATTTGTTTTTTTAAAGGCACCAAATACCATATGGGGTTAGAGAGACGGTCCTCATAACAGGTTTATGTTTGAAACTGGAATAGGCATGTCCTGAAGTTCTTTGCATTGTTATCTGCAGAAGTATATGGAATTAAATGCACAAAGGATACATATATTTGCTAATTTTCGTCTATATGCTCAACTAGTTTGGAAAACCCCTGTAACATTCTCAACATTGTTCTCGTATTCCTTGTTCTCTTATTCCCTGGATTTTGGTATGACCACATGTATATTAAGTGTTGGTCATTTACAAATATGCAAGAGGACTGTAATAGGCCAAATAAGTGGAATGTTGATGAATGGTGATACTTTTATGTTTGTTTTTTTTGTTTTTTATTTTATTTTATTTTATTTTTTGCTTTTTGAGAAGATAGTGATGGAAAGGTTCACTAAATGAATCCCCAAGGAAATGAATTGAAGATTCTTAGCTCATTCTCCATTGAACAAGTAAATTTATACCACGACTGATATATGATCCAACAAAATTGTAGTGGAATGTTACTTATTTCTAGACTTGTGCTTAAAGTTGATGCCTTGTTCAGTTCATCATCTAGTAATATCCCTATTGCTGCATCCAATGGGGTACATGTGAATAGTTTTGAGATTTTAACTTTTCCTGATGAAACAT